TCCCAATTTCAAGATTTTTCACTGCTTTAATTTCTTTCCATTAATGGAATTTACTGTGCATGCAGACTCAAAGAGACCCCCAAAGCCCTGCATATCTCACTTTTTCTGCATGTACTAGGCCCAAATGGAGAGATACAGCTTAGGCAAACCATTATTAGTAGCAGTTAGCCTCCTTAATATATCTGCCTGCTATTAATAAATAAATAAAAAAAATTGTGAGCCGACTCTACTCGATAAGGTCCAAGCCAAAAGCTCAGATCGAGCCTAATTTTTTTGGTCGAGCAAAAGCTCAACTCGGTTAGAGCCAAAAAAGGCCCGAATCATTTTTACTAGAGCCGACCTTGAGCCTCGAGTTTCGGCTCGACTTGTTGACATCCTTAGATGAAGTAACTTTGCTACAGGGGACTGTCGAACGTTCCTACTATTTTTTTCGGTGTAAGCTCATACATCTAACGAAATTTTCTCTATATTACCATGTGTAAGTGGAGATCCAAAAGTTAATTATTCGACATTTTGGTTTTGATATATTTTGTACACTCTAAATTAAATGTATGGTCAATTACTGAAGTCAATGAAAATAACATAGGCAATTCCTCAAAATATTTTCTAGACTTAACATCCACCATTATTACGATGTCAGAAAAAAGGAAAATATTTTGTATGTACTAAAAAAATATAGTAAAAATGGACGAGAACTAGTGATTGGTGGATAATATACACCTGAACATGCGTTTGTATATTTGTAAAAAGAATTCCAAAAAATTTTGTCACGTGAAATGAAATTTGCCAATCATTATTTTATAAATCAAAATCTAGACTGTGTGAGTGTTAATCGTTGTAAGAAGCAAATGCAATTTTCATAACATCGACAAAATTATAGCATAAGATAAGATAAAGTTGAATTCCATCTATGACTTACATCCGTCATAAATGTTCTTGCTTTTAATCCATTTTGTATACATAAATCATCGAATACTTATTTTCTAATATGAGATATCGCAATAAAGTTAAGAGCGCAACTAATTTTTCTAACTGTCTTTCTATGAGTTTTAGTCCATCTTTGATGATTAACTTAAAAATATGAACTACAATAGATTTGAAACGGCGGAATTGGGGCTAAGTTGTCCAGCTAATTTTTCATTGATTACTATTTTGATCGATACATTGTCAAATATAAAACTACTTCATGAAAATATTAAAAATATTTCTACCATTGATGGGATATTTAATTACTTCAAATACAGTAATTTTTTATGCAATATCCATTTTTTTTTATCTATATAGTGTGCAGTAGCATCTGTTTAACATTTATGGTTATTATCAGATAACATGAGTAAATGATGAAATATCAGTATATTTATTTAAATCACTTATTATCCACGCATTCTTTTTATTATATAAATTAATAGCATCTGAACGAAGAGTGTTTTTGAAATAGTATTTTAATTGGGTTGGAGATATTTTTGTATGAAATTGGTCAAGCAAACACTTGCCATTATTCTAAGCAAAAAATCACCATTAGCTACGAACATTGTCATTCCTTCGTGAATTGTCTCTTGTGAAACCGTTGTTAAGACTAGAACTAGAACTTGCACTATGAGAACCGAATTAGAGTTGAGCTCGAATAGTTTCCAAACCTTTGTGTTTGGCTTGCACCTTTTTTCATGTCTATACCATTTCTCCAAGATAATCTCTCTTTGTAGAATTTACATTGTACTTTGTGCTATAGCTGTCCGTCTACTAATGCACTTGGGCCTAGCAAGTTTAAGTGTTCCTAACACTTAGCCTTTTATTTCTTCGTTTTCTATTTATTAGTTTTAATGAATTATAGCTTAGTCTCTTATTTATATTATTTGTTAGGTAAAACTCGATGATTGTGTGTTATTTTGGAAGAAAGAGACGAAAATTAGCGAAAAATGATCATTTTCAGAGTTCAGGGACTAAATTGTAAATATTGAAAATTTGATTCGAACTAAGGAACCATGATTGAAGATCGTTTGGAGTTGGATGAAATTAGAAGGAAAATGACGAAAATCGTAGGAACAAGTTTTTGACGCAATTGTCGGAGAACAAAGTTTTTAAATTGAGTTTATTAGTTTATATTTGGATTCGAACTTTCTTGTTTTAGGTTCTTCATTACAAAACCCAACTTCTCGTATGCTTTGTTCTTTTCAAGCTTCATGCAAGATCTAACGAGATCGAGCTTCTTTCAATAGATCCCAAGGTCAAAAGAACTTTCAGACAAAAAAGGAGAGAAAAGAGAATAGGAAGGGATATGACAAAAAATTCGAATTAGGTTCAAAATTAGTTACCACCCGCTCCAACAATAGAGCCAATTAAATTGAGAGCAATCTCCAACGATGGTGAAATGTTAGTTGGGAACTATGTGATTCCCATTCTAGCTCCTGCTCAACCCAGTATTATATATCCTCCTTTCAGGAAACCTAATTTTTCATCTTTGCCTAATGTCATTAATTTGTTCAAGAATCATAAAGACATCAAGTTCTCTGGGAAAGCAACTAAAAATCCATGTGAGCGTGTTCAAGCTTTTCTAGTATATTGTGAAGTCATTAGTCATGAAGGAATGTCGGCTAATGCCTTTTGTATTGTTCGTTCCATCATACCTTGAAGGATAGCGCAAGAGATTGCTACATTCTTTACCTGTCGGAAGCATTGTATCTTGGAATGATATGATGTAGAAATTATTCACAATGAAATACTTTGCACATTTTTGAGTCCATCATATCAGAAATAAAATACATACATTTAAGTAATGGGAACTCGAGAGTTATCCAGAAATGTGTGAAAGGTTCAATGATCTATTTCAAATATATCCCGACTTAGACATTCCTAAACAAGCTCATGTCTACATCTGCTATTCATAATTATTGCCTGAATATCGTAATATGGTCGATGTTTCAGCATGTTTATCAATGATGAAGATGCTCCATTAACAATGTAATGAGTTGTATGAAAGAATTGTAGAAAATCAAGCTATGTGGCCATACAACAAGGAGACATTGAAGATAACAGCAGGACTTCTCAATGTTGATGAAGATCAGCTTTAACAGCCCGAATGGAGATATTGACAAAGAAGATGGACACCCTCACTCGGACATTTCACATGGTGCACTAGTCTATATCGGTCTGTGAAGGCTGCAAGGCAAATTATACAACTCAAGTTGTCCCTAGCTTCCACTGATTCAAATCAGTCTGGAAAGATATAACATACGCATAATTTTTAGAGGCGGCAGAATAACTCTTACTCCAACACGTATAACTCGGATTGGAGAAATCATCAAAATTTCTTATGGGCAAACAATGACAGGAAAATCAGAATCAGGGCAAATCACCAGGGTTTCAGCAGCAATAAAAAAAGAGGCCATCATCGGAAGACTTACTTCTTCAGTACATCACGAAGACTAACACTGTATTGCAAAATCAGCAGGCCTCCATTCAAAATTTGGAAACTCAAGTGGGCAGACTTGTATTGTCAACAAAATAGAGAGTGCCTTATCAAGAAACACACAAACAAATCCACAAAAACAGGTGTCAGCTATCAGGGCCATTGAGAATGACATGGTTGACACGACATCAATCAAGTTCGATACCCATGTATATATTTCAAGCTCAAAACATCGCGGAACACCAAATATTATTACACAACACATCATGGAGCGAAAATTACAAGAATTCTCTCGACACTTGGATGGTTTTGAAAATGAAGAAAGTGCCATCTACAATCATGAAGAGATTCAAGATTAATGGTTGCACCGAACTTTTCTTCTAATTTATCCTGGTTATGTATTCATCAAATATCTTGTATTTCCCTGATCGAATCATGATATGCTAAACTTCTTGTTGCTAGGATCATTGATGAAATTTTTTTGACTCTTTAATCCAACAATTGCTCATTTTTAGTTTTAAAATTTGTTGTGGTTAGTTGATTGTTCGTTATTGATATGACGTTATCCTATTATTTGGCCAATTTTAGGTTAGTCTTGTGATTCGTGTTGAGACCGAGAGGTGATACGTCTTTTCAGCTCAAATAACAAACAACGATAGGTCTTATAAAGAATGCATTTATGCTTAGTAAAATCTTAATTGATATTCTAACTTTGTCTCGTGCTTTGTGTATTCGCATTTTTCATAGAGATATAATTATATCGTAGATGAAAATCGAATTAGCTTATCTTAAGAAATAAGTTAACAATGGTAGGTTCGCGATCTTAGTAGCATTTTTGGTTTGGTTAAATTTCACAGCTTCATCGCTTTTTAATTGCTTTTGTTTTAGTAAATAATAGATATAATCAAATTTGAGTCATAAACTGAGGCTAGTTTTTATTAAAGTTAATAAATAGATAATCAATCCTCATGAAATCGACGCTGTGTTCATCACTTTATTACTTGTTTATGATATCGTACAGTTCCCAAATTATATCGCAACACTAGACATGGCCAAGTCCTCAACATCCTTCGTAGAAACTTCGTTAGTTTTAAAAGGGAAACTTAACCAATAGCTCTAGTTCAATTCACTATTAAAGGAGAAACCACCTGCATCTTGATTCTCAATTTTCTGGGGCAGCTCACCCCGGTGACTTACTATTTTTGAAAAAAACCCCCTGGGATGTGCCCCTAGAATGAGGATACTAATAGAAATCAAGTAGTTCTAATACACCACACTATCAAATTAATGGCAGGAAGCACGAAGAGTAGGCTAATTTAACAGAAATAACAGCTTGATCATTAATGAAAATGGAGAATTGTTTGCATAATAAGATAACTCAGAACAATAATCAATGTTGTGTTGAATGCAGTATTACAAATACAGAGCATTATTATGTACAGATCATACCATAAACTTCAATTTCATTATCCTTTTGCCTTGTAATCTCCAATGGCCAAACAGGGATTGAAAAGTAAACCACTAAAAAGATTCAGTAATTTACAAATTTGTATATCGCTTTCCTCGTCGCCTGTTCGAAACTTAGTTTAATCGATCAAGAGCTGCTTCTCTTGCCTTCACTCCCAAAAGTCCCGATTGGCTTGGCAAGAATACGCTTCATTGCCTTCACTCCAAGAGGGTTGTCCTTGCTCTGAACATTTAGAAAGTCACACGTAAGTACCTGATCATCGTATTTTCTACTTGAACACAGCATACCAAATAATAAATTTATGAACATAGTTTACATACCACTGAACAGGTGCCTGCCTTAACGTTGCACACCGGATATTCTTGGGGGCAGCAACTGTAATGGTCTTCACAGCAGGTGGCACCCTCGAGAGGACAGCATCCCCAAGATAAGCAGTAGCCATAGTATTCATAGACACAGCAGCAGGTATCGCCCTCGGCGCACTCATAGTAATCATCACAAGTCGAGGGTGGTTTGACCGGAGATGGAGGAGATGGACCTGGGTTAGGAGGATTTTGGCCCGTCTTTGTAGGGTAAGATGGCTCTATTGCAATACCACATAGACCAGATTTTGCAGCCACATTACGCTGCATTCTAAGGTATCCCTTCTCTCCCCAACTCGGACCCCATGAGTTCCTCACTATCCAATAATCAACACCATTTTCACTTCCATATCCAACAGCAGCAACACCGTGGTCAAGGTCAAGACCGCACTTCCCCGTGAATATACCCTGTGGAGATCGGAAATGAAAAAAAATTGAGAAACTAGACATTTCATGTTGGTAAATTAAGAATATACATTTTCAGAGAAATATTACATAGATTTTATCTTAATAAAACTAGAACTCGGGTCTATCAGCAATTATCTCCATCAGTGAGTTAATTTTCAGGACCATTAAGGTTAAACTAATGCAGACATTCATATTTTGACCTCAATAATGTGCTAAGAGGAACATTGTACTAAACTAGAATGAAAAGATATGTTAACTTTATTGATGACATTAAACTGGACAAGTACTCTATAAGATAAAAGTGGGAAACATTCCTAGTGTCATCAAAAATTCAAGCACATACGCTGTTTTCGCAAAGGAGAAATTTTTACCGAGTCATATAACTGGAAGTCTCTCCCACCACCTTCGACTGCAACGCTTACAGGTTGGTTTGCGACTGCCTTTTGCAATGCCTTCTCATTGTACGGTGGCACGTCTTCATAACCATCAATGGACACAACCTTGGCATTTTTCTGCATAACAAAAGAAAGTCAAGTTCTACTTACTTTCTCTTGAACTAATTAAATTACTCTTTCTCTTTGAAGTATTTATTACAAACCCGGTATGGGTCGCATCTCCCATCCCTTCCTGTGTAGGGGTAATCTTCATCAGTGTCAATGCCACCATTCTTAATTATGAACTCAAATGCATAGTCCATTAGACCACCATTGCATCCTTCGTTGTAGGTTGTATCACAATCCACCAGCTCCTGCTCCGATAGTGAGACCATAGTGCCGGTCTGAATCTGGTTTATTCCTTCCACAGCAGCAATGGTTGAAAATGCCCAGCAACTCCCTACATTCCCAAAAAATTTGTACATTTCATAAATCACGTATCTTGACCATATAATGAGTATGTAGAAAGATTAATATATCCGTTATTTTAGTCCTACCTTCTATGGACTCGTTATCGCTTCAATATATACATACTTATTTCTATATCAAAATTTTGAAATTTAACTAATTAATAATTATTACAATTCTTCATTTATATGAATCTGGTACATTAAACTAGACAAAATTAAGACTAGATAATTATAAACACACGGGAAAAGATAATTTAATCCTTAATAAACAAGAAAACAAAGGAAACGGAAGAGAGTATTCTACCCTTAATAAACAATAAAACAAAATAACCATATATTTCTTAACAGTTTTTAACTTATTCTTGTGAAGACAGCGTTAAGTATTCATTTTTTATTTTAATTTAAACAAAGCTTGATTATATTAAAGAGAAGAATATGTCTTCCAAAACAAAACTTCGAGGATTTCATTGTAATTTTTCAAGAAAGCCAGTCGAGGTAGCACTAGATAGTAGATACCACACTTTATTGTGCATTCCACTCAATTGGACAATGAAATGATGGGATCCGATGTCACTAAGATTAATTGGTGTGGTGATAAATAGCAAACTAATTTTTAAAACTAGAGGGACCTTTCTACTTTGTCAAGAATACTTAAAATGTCCCAAAAAAAAAAAAATGTCTACTTATTCCCTTTATAATATATAAATTATATAATAAATCCCTTTGATTAATAATTTATTTAATTATGGGAACTTTGTCAAGGTCTTTAATAAAATGGAGTGGAGCCAAATCAGGCGCCTACCAATGGCCCACAATAAAGTGAATTCATGCATGAGGTATGGTGGGGTAGGTGTGGTATCCAATCCAAACCGAGATTCCAAAAAATATCAAGTCTATAGCACATTGAGTGCATGTTCGACTAAGCATAAAAATTTACAAATAAGTAAAATTTTAAAATAAATTAATTTTAATCTAATTTGAAAATAAGTAAATTATTTACAGTATAATCCATCTAAATACATATAAAAAAAATTTTAAAAGTTGTTTAAAAGTATAATTGACTCATATTTACACCATTAGACTTCACAAAAGAACTTGAATGCAATAGAGATACTAACAATTTGATTCTTTTCCAATTCTTGGGGTAAAGTATCTAAGTTTTATTTTATTTTTCAATTATTGTAGAGATAATTCACTGGCGAGGAAGTGGTGTACCCACTCGAATAATATTCATTTGACAGAACACCCACAATTTCCCGCTAAGCCCACTGATTAAGTCTAATCACCATTAAATGGATTAATTTGGACTAATTTCATTTTTTTTATTCAATAAAATGGATTAATTTGCACTAAACTTTAAAGTAGTATAAAATCTAATTATGGTTCCGCCTGGACCTTTTGATTTTCCAATAAAGTATTCAAAATCAAATTTGACCAAGTAAAACGAGTAGCAAAACGACAAGACAAGGGCATTATCGTCATATAACAAAAATTCTCTTCTAAGAACTTTTCCATGGAAAAATAAATAAAAGGGCTTACCGCAGCTGCCTTGATCTTTCACCGGAGCGACCGCGCCTTTCTTTCTCCAGTCAATGGATTCCGGCAAGGCGTCGCTGTCTTTCGGTTTATACCGATCACTCTTCGTCTTCGAAAACCGGCGTCTGGCATCAGTTTTCGTACCCAAATACATGGACCGGTACTCCTCATTGGTGAGATCAGCGAATCGGGTCAAACCCAGTTTATAGGTCCGATTCGCGACGCTGTTCTGGTCATCTATGTATTTTAAATTATCCTTAAAGATCTCGAACCTCTTTTCCTTCTCACCCAAAGCGTTGTACGATTTTCCGTGCTTCACTAGCCATGACTCGTACATGGACATCATCTCATCGTGGGACCTCAAAGACTGGCCGTTTGTTTCGTCGTAGGTTATGATCGACATGTCTGAGGCATATGTTTTTGCGAAAAGTGAGACGAAGAGGCAGAAGAAGAAGATCGAAGACATGGTGAAATACGATGAAAAGGTCTTCATGTTTTGTTGGGACATGTTTTTCTGTAAGAACGGAATGGAAAAGCGTGGAATTATAAAGGGCAATGAAAGGACAATATGGGAAATTTATTTGTGTAGGTATTTACTTACGGTATTTGGAGTTTACAAGTGAGAAATTAGACCAAAAATAGATAAGAATTCGGACAGGAAACAGCTGTTAAAGGGACATGTGGAGTTGATGTGATAGGTGGGAATAGGAAGTAGGCAAGAAAAGTGGGGGAGAGAGGGGATTCCTCCAAAATTTGGACATGAAAATAGAATGGGTAAGAAGGGTCTGGTTTATCGCAAGAAAGAACGGGCGTGGGGTAAAAAGTGAAAATTATCTTACACTTTTCTTTAAAAGTCGACTCTAATTTCTTTTATTTTCAATTAGGGAGATAGTGGATCTTGATCGTTTGTCAATTTTTTAAACGAGCTCAAGGAGAAATCTAGCTTGACCAACCGAATTGAGCTCGATGGTCTTCAGCTTGTGGCTTCGAAGGTCAGAGATGGACTCGTGGATTGCATTGACGTTACCTCTCGCTAATGAGTTAGCCCACGCTTGAATTGTTGACCTAGGACAAGCCCGACTCGTCCAACGAGTCAAATTGAGATTGGGTAGCCAAGTCGTGTTATAGGTTCACTTAATGGTACTCTGACATCAATATATATATATATACACACACACACTATATTTTAATTACATTGAATGTCAATTAACCCTTGCTCATTATCATCTTTGACTTTTTTCATCACGTTCTTATTTTAATATTTCATTTATCAGAAAATCTTGTACTTGAATATTTAGATTCATCCAAAAATATTATTACGTTATAATAATGGTCAAATATTTAATCACATTTTTAAATTATTATTTGTTTTTGCTTATTTATAAATAGTTAAATGAGTTTTTTTTACTCTATTTAAAAAAATATATAGGATGAAAATCATAATTAAGAACTATTTATGTTAATTTACGAATAAAAATATGATAGAAAAATGCTTGAGACATAAATGTAATAATGTTATAAACATTTCATGGAATTAAAATGTAATCTAGTTATTAAAACTATGATGTGAATATATTTAGTCCTCAAATTATATTTTGGTTTTAATTCGATTGGTTCCTATGTAATGTCATCAACATTGACGACATTCTTAATGTGATAATGGAAATTGTGCAAAACTTATATTTTAAGAAAGGTAATTGTTATGACTAGTTAAAATATCGTGTTGTCAAATTTCACAATTTTTTTTTTCAAAATGGAAATATTCTAATGTAATTTTTCATCATATGAAAAATACAACATGTACAAAAAAAATTTATATTATTTGACAGGCTATCAGCTCGCGAACATTTATTTTAATATTGTACACAAAACAAAGTTAAATCAGTCGATGCGATCTTTCTACCTCATAAGTAAGGTTGGTCAATCTTCTATGATGGCGGCTAATAACCGCCATTGGATACAAATTCCATTAATCTAGTCATCAGTTCTACCGTCCATGTGACAAATTTCCAAATGGTTAAATTAAAGCAAAACTATAGGTTAAGCCCTGTTAGATAACTATCAAAAAGAGGGTTTAATTTTTTTTAATTTTTTAGAAAAAGTGAGTTTTGGAATAGTTATTTTTTAAAAAAAATTTGTCAGAGTTGAACATATATTGCACATTATTTTGAAATATTTTATAAGTATTGTAAAAATAATATTTGATATCAATTTATTTGGAGGATTTGATGAGTCTCAAACGAAATAAAGAAAATAAAACTTCAGATAAAAATTTAAAAGAAAAAGTCGTAATCTCAAAACTCAACTTATATAATTAAATTTTTTTTTTTTTTGTGATGATAAAATTCTATAAGCGAGCAACCTTTTTACACTACATTTGATACATAAGAATCAACTGTTAATACATGACTTTAAACTCCCATTAAAAAATCCTACACATATGAATAAAAATAAATTCATCTATAATAAACTATATTCATGTAGATCAAGATTCATATAAATGTCAATTAATTGAGAATTAATAACACGAAAATTCATAGATGACAACGATTTGTAGTATTTATAACATATTGAAAAATGAAAAGTAAGGTATTCAGATTCATGTAGGTTGAGGTTCACCAAAGTAAGATTCATCACAATTCTATTTAAACATTTACATAGGAATACTCTATTATATTTTTTTGACTAAGCATATATTTTAATATAACAATATCCTAAATATGAATATCGTGCCGTTGCTCTCGAAAAAATACGACTTTATTTATAAGGATAATATGTAATTATTCCTGATGAAGCCTTAAATTTATACATATTAATTGTTCATGAAAGAGTTATTCTAAAGCAACATTTTATTGATCTTGAAAAATCATCATATTGTTCCAAAAGATGTATAAGCTTATTATATCAATATTTAATACGAATAATGTTGATACTATTGAATAAGAACAATCTCAATATTTCAATATTAAATCATGGTCATTCTTGAAGTATATCGGATGAATGTTGATTTGATATTTATGAGGATTTTATTAAGTCTCCATAAAACCAATATGTAGTAATTTAGGGGAGAATTTTATTTTTGCCAGTAACTTTTTCTTCACTAAATATAAAAGAAATTTATAAAGTTTCTAAGATATATGTTAATTATCACACTAAACTAATATAAGCATAACCAAAGCAATCCTATATTGAATCAGAAGTTCAATTTAATTTTATTGTTTGGCTTAATCTGTCAGACCATTTTGGATCAACATTCATGTGAAAAGTTGTTGACAATTCGAATTGATATTCAATAAACAATCAGAATAATCTTCAATCTAATAAATTCACATATAATCCCCGTATACTAGGAATTAGAATTTAGATTTTAATAGTCAAAGCTAATGATTAATTTTAACTACATATTTTATGGGATCCAAACTTTTCAACCATGCATTTCATTAACTTTTATCAAATTATGCTAAAAATCTAATTTTGATCCATACTAAACAAGAACATAATGTTTATTCTCAGAATATGTAAACTTTCACTAGCTAAAATATGGAATAAATCATTATAATCCTAAAAATTAATTAGGGTGATATATGGGCCCATCACTCCCCATATTGATCATCTAGATATTATCTTTATCTAATAAACATATTTACTAAATGATTGTGTGGTGTTATTATATATTCACAATTGAAGTTTATGAAATTTATTGATCGAGTCTTAAATTATAAGCATAATTTTTCTATTGTACAATCAAGACGATATGTCTTGTTAATGTTAGTGAGTTTAAATCTCAAAATTTTAATAATATATAGTTAGGATGATATTAAATGTTTTAACCCTATTTTTTTTTTAAAAGTCATCGGTTAATTTCTAAATCATTACTACTGAAAATAATGTGATTTCCATTTTTTGTCTAGGGAAAGTTATTTCATTTGTAGCAAAACTTATAGCATCATGCCAATTCTAAGGTTCTCTCTGCTATATCTGGCTTATGGCCAGATCCTAATATTTTCATTTAATTATCTTCTATAGCGAAATATATGTACAACAATTCCACTACAGCAAACTGAGATGAGTATTGAATAATGCTAAGAGTACAGGTTTAATTTGAACCCTTATAAATTTATTTTAAGCACTAAAGGAAATATTTTATAACGCAATAACATAATGTATCATTATACTATGTAAATCCTCGCACAAGATAATTTCAATTCATTTAGATGCATTTACTTATCAAAGAGATTAACTATTTCTCACACAGTAGCTTTAAAGTCCCAACTTGAATTAACATCCTGCAAGGACAACCATTAATATTATATTTGATACTTCAATAACAACATCAAAAACTTGATGACATTAGTTTCCATGACAATATCTCAAAAATATAATAATAATAATAATAAAAAATGGAGCAAATAATAAAAATATTCCATTGAGAAGAAAATATACTTTCAGTGAATATATATGTGCAATACAAATTGTAAAATCCCAGAAGAGGTTCAGATACCTGAAATAATTAAAATTGAGATATGTCAATAAGTTATATCGTTATGTAACAGAAATAGAATAAAAAAGAAAAAGTTGTTGACTACATTTTTTTTATATGATGTACTTCTTCGTATTATGAATATCGACAATATCGAAACAAATTCGTCGAAGTATATCAATGGAAGGAATGATTGAAAAAATATAAGAATGAAATCCTAACAAAATTGAATTGATTATCAAAACCAGAAGTTTTTGAACTTACAGTCCAAACATCTAAATGTGTATACTTATACGAAAAGAATAAAAAATAAAGTCATAACTTGTAATGCATGATTCTCAACATAATGAATTTCACAAAAAACTTATTTATAGAGATAAGTTATCCTATGGTAGATGCAAGCACATGTTTCAATCTTGTTGTCCTGACAATAATTGAAATTTGATGTGTATAATAAATATTATCCTTGGCATGGCTCAGCATAATGATGAAATGAAATTTGGTTATATCCAACTCATTTGGCAACACTATTAATAATACCACTGAAAGATTTTATGCCAGAAGCATATAATTCAAGTGATATTATAATAAGAGGAGTAAATACTCATCGTACTCTTTTTATTTTAACCAAGTTTTTGTCACATTGAATTTTTCTTTCAAGATTTTTTTAATGAGATAACTTTTGTAGCTTACTTAAAAGAATAACGTACTTTTTCTTATTAGAATTTTTTCTATAGAGTTTTAACTAGTAAGATATTTATGAGCATCAATGTTCATAACTTACAAGATATTTACCCTCAAATTAATACTATTATATGTTATAAATTATGTACGAGTCTCCCAAAGAGAGCAAAAGCAATATCTGTTTTTCAACGGACCATCATGCCAACTAAAATGAAATAACGATGGATAAAAATCAAGTAGAATATGATATTGCTTGAAGACTATAACATGACAAAACAGAACTTATCTCATCAAAATTGTGA